TGGCAATGTCCTGCCCCTCGGCCAGATCACGGAGGGGTGCATCGTTTGCAACGTGGAGGCGAAGGTCGGCGACCGCGGCACCATCGCACGCGCCTCGGGCGACTACTGCATCATCATCTCCCACAACCACGAAACGGGCCGCACACGTCTGAAGCTGCCAAGCGGGCAGAAGAAGACTGTCCCCAGCACCTGCCGCGCCATGATTGGCATCATTGCCGGTGGTGGCCGTATTGAGAAGCCCGTTCTGAAGGCTGGTAACTCCTTCTACCGTTTCCGTGGAAAACGCAACTGCTGGCCCAAGGTGCGTGGTGTTGCCCGCAACCCCGTGGAGCACCCGCACGGTGGTGGTAACCATCAGCACATTGGTCACCCGTCGACTGTTTCGCGTCACGCACCGCCAGGCCAGAAGGTCGGCCTCATTGCCGCTCGCCGCACCGGACGTATCCGTGGTAGCAGGGCTGTTAAGGGCGCATGGCACCCAGAGGAGTAGGTTGGGTTTAGCACGTCTGATTTGTTTTTTTCTTCTTTTCAGCTGATACTTTTTAAATTAAAATGAAAAAAAAAAAGAGCAACAAACAACGAAACTCTTTTGCTTTATTCAATACTAAATTGACGGGTCTTCTGTGCGGAAAGAGAACGTGTGCGTTTCTTCTGCTTTTTCCTTTGGTGTTTACTCCTCTTTTTTTTTAATCTTTTTATTTTGTTGTTTGTTGCCTCCCAGTGGCACCATTTTGTAAGTTATATGTTGTGTGTGGCGGGCTGGACGCCCGGCAGACTTTGGGGTTGAATGATGCAGTGCCTGTTCCTGGAGGAGCGCGTCTCCGTGGAGGGGTACGTGGTGCTTCTCGCCGAGACGTTTCGCCCAGCATTTCATACGATACAATCGTTACTTACGACCATTGCGGAGCCGACCTCGCGGCCCTCACTGATGCATGAGTACCGCATGACACCCTTCTCGTTGGGGACTGCGGTTTCCGCCAGCATCCCTGTATCTGATGTGGTTGGATTTTTGGACGCTTATGTCTACGGCTTCCGTGCTGAGGGGGGTAACTCGCGTCGGGCTCGCGTTTGCGCCTTTGTGGAGACGTGCATGAGTCGATACAATTTGGCTCGCATTGTGATTGACGATACACGCACATTTGTGGAGTGTGAGAACGTTGAAACGGCGGAGGCGCTTTTGGCAGATCCGGTGGTGCGGTCGCTATGTGCTGAACCACCCAAGCTTGTTTCTGCCGCAGATCACTCTATTTTTATGCTGAGAAGCCGCGCCGTCGCAAGGCTGGTGGCGGAGCGTTGCGTTTTGCTTGGATTTCCTCTTCAGCAGCAGTACGACTACGAGGCAGACGAGAGCATTCGCAACATCCACATCATGCTGAAGACGCAGACGAAACCGCGGCCGTACCAAATTGATGCTGTCAACGCCGCAGCGACGGGAAGTTCTTTGCGAAGTGGCTGCATTGTGCTGCCGTGCGGCGCGGGTAAGACGCTTGTGGGGATTATGCTTTTGTGCAAGGTAAAGAAGCCGACCCTAATTCTTTGCGCGGGAAGTGTGAGTGTTGAACAATGGAAAAATCAGATTTTAGAATATGCCAGCATCTGTGCTCCTGGCACTGGCGAGGAAATGACTGCCGCTGAACGGCATCGGTCGACATTGGAGGGGGCTGCGCGTATTGCCTGTTTGACTGGAAAACAAAAAGATCCGATCACGGAAGATACTGATGTTGTGCTCACGACGTACAGCATGTTGGTGACAGCACACCGAGCGCAGATGCGGCAGCATGCGGGATGCGCAATTGGGTCTACAGATGATCGACCCCAGAAGAGACGACGCCCGAATCCAAAGGAGAAGCTCTTTCAGCCCTATGGTCTTCTCATTATGGATGAGGTTCATGTCATGCCAGCGGAGGCGTACAAGGAAAGCTTGGGCCTTGTTGACGCCAAGGGCGTGGTGGGACTAACGGCCACATATGTCCGGGAGGATGCAAAAATCCGGGAGTTGTTTCACCTGGTGGGGCCGAAGCTGTATGATGTGTCGTGGGAGACGTTGGCGTCAAGCGGCTATCTGGCTAATGTGACTTGCATTGAGGTGTTAACGCCGCTTACGAAGCAGTTTAGTCTTGAATATATGGAACGCAGCAGCGAGGACCGCACACTGCGGCAGCGGAAGATGCCACTGCTTGTCATGCTGGCCGCCGCAAACCCTAACAAAATGCTATGTGTTCTTGAACTTGTTAGAAGACACATTGCGGAGTCATCAAAGATTCTTGTTTTTTGCGACCATCTTCTGCTTCTTAAGGAGTACGGGAGTCTTCTTCACGCCCCTGTCATATGCGGGGAGACGCCGCATCGTGAACGGTTAATGATTTTTTCTGATTTTCAGAGCACCTCGAAGCTAAATGTCATTTGTTTGTCGCGTGTGGGGGATGTTAGTGTGAATCTCCCAAGCGCTAATGTGGTGATACAAGTCTCCAGTCATGGCGGCAGCCGACGACAAGAGGCGCAGCGCCTTGGGAGGATTTTGCGCCCCAAGGCGAGAGCCAGTAACGGCAAGGTGGTGGACGCGTGGTTCTACACCATCATTAGCACAGACACGCTGGAGATGGCCTACGCGGCACACCGCACAGCGTTTCTTGTGGATCAGGGGTACACGTGTCGCATTATGGAATTTCGCCCGGACGACCTTTCGAAAAAAGAGTTTGATGCCGTTGCTGCCATCACAGAACCAGGCGATGTTGTAAGCATGAAACAGGAGAAGCTGCGAAGCGCCTTGCGGGAAAGGGAACTGCGGTGTGAGTCCTTGACGGCACCACAGGGCTGTGTGGATGCCCGAAATCTGGACTACCAGCTGAATCTCTTGTCCCGGGTTGTTTCCGGCTGGGAGTTGGACTACCACAGCTGTGCGTTGCAGCAGCCAGCGCCAGGGCACGCCGGACTTTGGCAAGACGACGACAAAGAGAATGACGTTGTGGAGGTCGCACCAGAAAGGGATTTGGCTGCAATCAAGCGGGAATGGGCTGTGGGAAGTGGTATTGACCACCTTCACTTGAACCACAGCTGTACTTCTTTGCAAAGCCTAGTCAGCATTGATGAAAATTTTGTGTACCACGAGCTCTAGCTGAGCGACGCGAGGGAGGATGGGAGAAGGCAGCAGCGAACGTGAAAACCCAACAAACAAAAACCAAAACAAACAAAAAAAAAAGATGCAACATGTACTCTAATAGTGTAAAAACGAAAATATCCGTGTTTTTCCCTTTTGTTTTTGTGTATATTTCTTCCTGCCAGTCTTGTTTTTTACCCATCGGTATTTGTCTCTTCCATTTGTTTTTATTTTTGTTTTTGTTTTCTTGAACTGAGGAGATCCGAAGACGAAGATGCTGTGATACCTGTACTCACTGCTTGTGACGACCAAGAACCGGGTTATGGGATGTCTTTACCCAAATAAAGTTGAGCCCACAGATGTCGACAAACAGTTCGCACCAAACGCAAAAGACTCAAAGAGTGACTGCTCTGCTGGAAGCTTAAGGCGAGGTGGCAAAGCCGCCAGGGAAGAAGGCAGACAAAATTAGGAAGGTGACTGTAGTGGAGGAGGCACCACTCACCACATATGTTTTTTTGAGTATATGATGGCCGTCATTGGAACCGCAGGAGGTGGCGGCCGGAATTTTGGTGTGCGGTGCGTCCGTGGACTGTGTGTGTGTGTGGCCGCGTGTGTTTTATTTTGTTACCATTTACTTTTGTTTATTTTTGGCTGGCGCTTCTGTCCGTTACTATAAGTGACATGCGCTGAGCCCTTTTTTTTTGGTGGTGGTGGGGTGCTTTCTCTTTAGATGAGCAGAATTCGGGAACAAAATTGTTGCACCACAGGTAAGGGACACTTGTCTTGCCCTCTACCATTCCACTCTTTGCCTACTTTGCTGTTCACTCACCCGTAGTTTTCCTCACTTCTCTCTTATTATTATTTTTTTCCGCCGGCCCAGTAGGAGTCGCGTGTCACGATGGTCTGAGTTTCGTGCTGGGTGGTGGTGTACATTGTTGCCGCTGTGGTTAGGTGGATCGTGGGGTGGTTTCGTCGCAGAAGGGAGCCTGAGACCGCGAACGGTGACGGGTTGCTCTCGTCGCCAGAAAAGGACTCACCGGACGGATGTTCTGCTGGAAGCTGACGGCCACCGACCCGTCGCCGTCGCCCAGACGGCGAGGAGGGAACGCCGCCAGGGAAGAAGGCCGACTAGATTAGGAAGGTGGCTGTAGTGGAGGAGGCACCACTCACCGCACATTTTTTTTTTGAGTATATGATGGCCGTCATTGGAACCGCAGGAGGTGGCGGCCGGAATTTTTGTGTGCGGTGCGTCCGTGGACTGTGTGTGTGTGGGGCCGCGTGTGTTTTATTTTGTTACCATTTACTTTTGTTTATGCTGTGAGTGACTTTGTATGGGTTAACTGAACCGGCTCGCTGCGTTATTTTACTCCTATCACCGTTCCCCGCTATATTTCCACCAACCACGGCTGCATGTATTCTTGTTGGACTTCCCTTCCTTGTGCCCTCATTTTTTTTTCTTTCTTTTTCTTCCCCTCTGTGGCGATCTCCTCGCGGCATTTTCGACCGAGCACACACACAGACAGACACGCACACAGGATTTGATATATATATATATATACCTCATCAGTTATTGGCCTGAGAACGTTTTGTACTGACGGCGATGACGCAGGTGGGTGACGGGTTTCCTTCAACAAACACCCCCCAAGGCTTTGGTTCAAGGACGATGGTGTCGTTGCTGTCCAGCGAGGTGCATGTAAATGACAACGATGCCTTGCTTATTGGATCGACGACATACGAGGCAAAGTATGTTCAACCGTCGCCTCTGCTTAAGGGTTCTCTGTACATCCAGGACCCTAACAAATTGTTTAACAAGGACGAGGATTTGAGGATAGACAAGCTGACGCTTTCTCAGCTGTACAGTACCGCCTACGTCCCGTACATGCAAAAGAAACAGTACCAGCTGGAGGCGGAGTTTTCACTCTTGCCATGCCCTCCGGATTTTGACGGTGAGGCTTCAACTGACCCTGAGGCTGTGATGCAGTACGTAAAAGGGCTTTCTGCTGTGTACTGCAAGGATCCAAAGGATCCGTCTCCTTTTCAGCTTTATGAAACTCTTGTTAGTGGGTTTATGGAGGGCGTTGCCGCCATGACAACTCAATTCACGAATGAAAACAAGGAGGTTTTTTTAGGCAGCAACTCAACTTCCCTGTTTAGTTCCCAAGATCAAACATCTGGGGCACTTTGTTTGCCGCGATTCCAGTCGTTTGCACCAGCAACAGAAATGGTGGCGTTAACAATATCCATGTGGTTGTCAAATATTTGGCATTTGGATAACATTGGCATTGCCTTGGAAAAAGTTGAGCAATCTCCCGCCGCCACCCGCGCTTTAAGTTCATCTATTGTGCAGACCGCACTTGATGCCGGCAGAGAGCTCCTCATGGGGGATTGCTGTTCACAGGAGCGAAAAGGCGAGGTGTGCAGTTTGCTGGGACTTGTCGTTCTCCCTCGCGGGGAAATTCAAGAAATGCTTCGATATGTTAGCATTCTCGAGGAGTATTGCTTCCATTCTCGCTTCAGCATTGTACCAATTGTGCTACCTCACTATGAGGAGGTGTTGCGAAGCTTTTCCTTGACCTCATCATCGCAGCATTTAATGTTGTCTCCTGTTGACGCTCACCACCGTGAGACAACCAAACTGCCGGTTATGCTATCGGAGGGTGTCAGTGTTGTTTGCTTTTGTGTCTCACCTTGTGGTTTATTTTTGGCCGCCGCCACCGTTTCTGGCATCTTGCTTTTTCACACTGCGACGGGAGAGTTGCTGGTGGAATCGGTGGATATGTTTCTTTCTCGATCATTGTGGACAATGCAGTTTTCCCCCGACTCGAAAAAGCTGATTCTAACGATGATGGCTGGACTGCGTCACGTGGTGCTCAGCACCGACCTCGTTTACCTCAGTGAACACAACACGGAGTTGCCAGCCATTCCAACCGCGATGACGTCCGAGTCTATTGACTTTCTCTTCTCCCCACTGTTGACGAGCGGACGAAAAAGTTCATTGTACCTTGTGGCATGTGGGAAGACAGTGCTGAACAAACTCGGTCCCGGGGCCGATAGAACTGTTGAGAGTTTTGTTGTCTGCTCGCACATCCACAGCGATTTTGAGGGAAATTTGGTTGTCTTGGAGGCGGATGGTCGCACCTTTACCTTGCACCTGCGGGGAAGTATTGTCACCTTGACGCATGGCTCCCACAGCTGCTTTGGCGTCTGCCCAAACAGTGCTCCCTGGCATTTTATGTTTTGTCAGTGGAACCGGGGCACATGGACGTTGGGTATTGACAATATTTTGGTTGACCTACATGGGGCCCGCACTGCTCAGCCTAATGCGCTCAAAGTCACTCGTGCAACGATATTTGATGGCACTGGACATGTCGGATCGCTCGTGGTGTGGTGTGGGGAGGGCCTGGAGGGACGCTCGATCAATAAGTTTTCCATTGAACGAGTGTTGGAGTCATCTGTGAAGCCGTTTTTTTACCTGCCGCTGGATGAGGGAGAGGGGTTTTGGCTGAAGGAGCTGGCTGCTATGCAGACTATTTGTATTCCGGAACAATCGATTGTCTGGGACGAGTCCGTCTGCTGTCCGTGTGCCCCGCCTGAGTCGTTTGACCATAATGTTCGCTTTCCACAACATCTGCTGCAGCAGTCGGACGTCCTGGTCAGTAAGTTTCAGGTCCTTATTATCATCCCCTCTCTACACAAGGGAGGAGACGGGGTGGTTGTTGCTGTTCAACATGGATCAAAATCCATCAGCCGAGTATACCGTTGCCCGGGGAGTTATTCGCAGTCACTTTATTTCCTTTCCCGTGACGAGTCCTTGTTGTATTCCTTTCAGCAGCGCTTTTCGACGTTCTCCGTGAGTTCCATCTCTACCACTGCGAGACGAGAATATGAATTACAAGAAAGTGGTGTTTTGCGCACAGATACGTTGCAGGGTTCACCCGAGTGGTTATACAATGAGATCCTGAAACGCATGTGCATTGACGGACTTGATCTTCTTCGAATTCCGCCCGAAATTACTCCACTGCGGTTTGAAAACTTGCGCCAACTGTGCAGGATACTGCAAGGTGCCCAGAAAGAGTCTAACAATGTAAAGCTAGTGGCGGTTATGACATTAGCAATGGTACACTTTGAGCGGCTAGCGTTGGAGGATGCTGACTCCCTTTCACGTATCGCTGCGTCCCTTAATCGTTCCTGCAAGCAAATCATGGAATGCTTTCCTAAAGGTTATGTTCGTGATGTGGCTGCCGCATTGGTCCGGGCCGGCGCTAGCCGATCACTAACCATGACAGATAAAGTTGATATACTTATGCATGCCGATGATGAAAGGGTGACTGATGCAATTGAGTGCTGCATGTGCAAAGAGTCCCTATACGACATTATATCCTTTGTAGTTAATGATGATCCCTCCAAATTGTTGCTCATTGCACATGGGCTTTTTCGACGATGTAAACTAGAGGAGGAGGGCCGTGTTTCTGGACGAACAGTGTTTCCTTTTATGTTATGGTTTTCAATTGTATCCGTTCAACTTCTTCTTGCTTATGGACAGTACACAGTAATTTGCCGTCTATTGGAACTCTACGTTCAGCACGCAGAACAACTCCTTCCGAGGCGATCGTGGGATGACAGCATACAACAAACCGTGGTTCACACAGGGCTTCTACCGATGCTGATCAGTGTTGCCAAACTGTGTCCCGCTGCTGTCACCCAAGAGGTGGAATTGGCGTTGCTGCATCTTCTTGATACACTGCCGCAAGAAGCCACCAGTAACCTCTTCCCTGTGAGCTTTGAGACGCGACAAGCAAGCGACGTTGTACCAAGCACAGATAGTGCCCCATTTAAGTTTGTTCTTGACTGTAAAAGAGCGACAAATGTTTTTATTTCGAAGGAATTGTCCGCCTCGGAGGTGACAGTTGTCGCATCTAACCCTTCCAATGAGAAGCCAACTAAGCTTGTCTTGAATAACGAGACACCATTTGTCACGATAGATGGATCGACCCTATTGCTTTTCGGGACAGGAGAGAGCTCGCTTACCGTTGTCTGCAGCTATGAGCTTTGTGTTGGCACACCGTGCATCTCTATGCTGCGTGAAGGTATTTTGAATTTGCTTTTATCTTCGGCGAGGCATTTAACAACAACCCCCACGTCGTGTGGTGTTTTTCTGGCGCCGTTGCTGCGTCATGGACTGGACTCAAAAACACTCGCAACGCATGGGCTGGATGTTCCTGGCAGGGTGAACGAGTCCAGCTTCGCGGTGGACATTCTCAACAATGAGGGAGAAGGAAAAACGTTTGTGGATGAGGTGTGGAAAAATATGCGGGGTGGCGTGACACCCCTCATGCGGCCCGCCATTCAGGCACTCTTATCTTTGCTTATACACAGTGGCTTGACTACACGTCAGGCCACTGACGAGTTAAAACTCCGTTGGTTTAGCGGGGAATGGGGAAGTAAACTCCAGGGAAGTGGAAAGGATGCCGCACGACAGTCATTGTTGGGCTTAGCCAAATGGATTACTTCATGCGTATATTACCAGGCCGATTATTTCCCCTTGTATGCGCGGCGTGCCTCGAACGTAAGGCGCTCCCCACATGAAAGTTCGTTTGCCGCCTCACGGTCTGCGTCAGATCCTAGACCCGCTTCCATGTGTAGGCGAAACGTGGTTAGGGGTGCCATGCAGAATCAAGATATACTAGATCAGGTGCGCGCTCTGCTTTCTAAAGGTATTACCCCCCAAAATCTGGAAAAAATTTTAGTGGAACGAACGTCTTCCGCCCTGCGTATAATGCGTGGATTGCACCTTCTCTCGGCTCTTCTCTCAAAACTTGAGAAGGTGGAGACTAGAATGCTTCACGGCATTCTCCAGACTCTGTGGATGTTTTCTGGAGAGGGGAGTGGAAAACACATAATTGAGAGTCTTGTGGGCTCTGGCACCGAATTGGAAATGCGAGTACGTACGGCGTTTCATTCTGTCCTAGAGATGTGTGAATCCCTGTTGATGAGTAATTGTCCCAAGGAGCTATCGACAGAGGTGATGCTGGCGTCTCCGGCAGAGAATGGCTCCTCCACGATGTTGTTGCTGGCGATCATGTGCCATCCCTGGGACGCCGTGGATTGCGAATTTTTTAGGTGCAGCAGGAACGACGATGAGGTAACTGGTATTCTTGGCTACTTGGCGGACCAGATGAGTCTGTTCACGTGCAGCCTGCCATTGATGTGCTCACGACGGGCACGCCGTGAGCAAAGTAAGACCACAAGCGCAACAAAGGGGACAACCAATTGGGATGAACTGATTGGGATTGCAGAGCACGTGTCCATCAACTCCATTTTACCAAATGGATTTTCTATTGTTGTTCCAAACTTGCAACTGTTTCTTTCAGAGGAAGGCGTCACCTTTGAGAAGGCCGTTCCTGGCTTATTGACGCTGCGCGCGGACGAGGCGTGGCCCCTTCCACGACATATGGCTTGGTTTGGTGGTCTTCCCCGTGTGTATTATTACGAGGTGACACTCACATTTCCGTGTCATTTTTTTGCGCTTGGTTTGGGTCACAACCGAGGCGAGGTGGAGCGTGGGGTGGATGTAACATATTTCTACGATAATTTAGGCGACACCCATGCTATCTCCTGCCCGCCTTTTGATGAGGGTGACACGATTGGCTGTGGAGTCGTGGCGACGACACGGCGCATATTTTTCACCCTCAATGGTGTCTTTATCTCCTTTATGGGGACTGTGAGTGATAAGACCGAGGCTCTCTATCCTGTAATCCGCGTCAATAACGAGGAACGTACAGGCTTTACGGTAAACTTTGGCTCCACGGCATTTTGCTACGATTTTCGTAGATTACACCCCGCCCTTTCAGTTAGCGGGTACCCGACTTGGTACATCGTGGCATCAACCGCAGAAATTGTGCTTCACTACATGTCCGCTCGTGCCAGCGTCATGCGAGAGTCAGGTAAACCGTGCACAGGGATATTTTTCATTAAGTGCTGCGAGTTGGTTTGCCGAAGCATTCACAAAATTGCCTCAATTATTATGGATATTGGAGTGGCCAAGGTGGAGACTTCCGAGAGTTGCATGGAGGAGGCGGTCATCCTGTCGGTCGTCGACTCATCGCTCATAAAGTTTATTGCCACGCTGCGTCACATCCTACAGGCTCCTACACTGAACTCAGTGCCTGAGGTAGTGGGGGAGATGGTATTTGACGCGGCAACAGTTCTAATGATGTTGCCTTTGCACTCTATACGAATATCCACCATAAAGTTTTTTCCAGAACTTCTACCACACGTTCCTCGTGTGCGGGACGTCAAGAGCTCAACAAAGCTTGTAAAAACTTTTTTTGAACACGCCAAGGTGATGGTAGATACCCATGGTAAAATTCCCTTTGTTCCCTACTGGCGGGAGTGCGATAGCCGATGCATGACCATTACAAATGTGCAGGGGGTGTGCATGCAGCCAGAGGCGCAGCGAAGCATAGTTTTGGGAAATATTCTTCCGCGTACTGGGAAGGTGTCCTTTACAGCACGCATTTTTCGCAAGGGGATGTCGAAGGGTCACTCTTTGAAGGGTGGGTACTATATTGGGATATCCGTTGCTAACCTGAAGCCCATGTCACAAGCATGTAACTCTCAGAGATGGAAGGCTGTGAAGCCACCTGTAGTATGGGCGCTTCACGATGTCTCGCCTCAGTTACCCCACGCCACAAATCCAACGGTAAAACCAAACGTTTTTCATCGCACTTTTGGCAGTGGCGACGAGATTTGTGTCTCAATAGACTGTGACAAACAAACGGTAAGTTTTTATCGAGACAATGAGTTTCTCAAGACATTGTTTACGGACATTCCTACAAATGTTGACTTAGTACCATTTGTTCAGCTATACAATGACGATGCTTCCGCCTACATCAGTCCTGGGGAAATGACGGCGCCGATTTCATCCTTGACCCTTCTCAGTGCAGCTTCTGTGGATGTATTGCGTTCCATGTTAACGTTGGACCCGTTTGAGCGTTTAGTGGCAGATGGTCTTTGTGAGGAACTTGATGGAGCAGCGTTCCCCAACGTTGCCTTGGCGTTGTTTGGCAGCATGCCAGACCCGCGTGTTTTACAGCTCTGTTGCCGTAATGGTGAGAAAGTTCTGGTTACTGTTCGCCGTTTGAGGCAGCAGCAGGTCAAGTTTTCTGTTGGCAACTTGGCGTACTACGGGCACATGAACAGTCTCCGCACTGCCTCTTTTTTGGGTGCATGCGGTACGCTTGACGTCAGTGATTTATCATCATCCTTGTCAGGCGTCCAGCGGTGCATCATGAGTTTGGTGATGGCACTTCGCCGTCTTGTTCTCCCGCTTGTCACGACACAGGCCCTCGCGCTGCAGGAGACGCAGAAACGGAAAGACATACTTGAGGATGAGAATGATCAATGGGGCGATTTGTTTCACGGTGTTCGTGTGACGCAGTTTCTCAGCATTCAACGACTCTCTCAGAATATTCCGCTTCTGGAGTCTCCGCGAGTTCCTGTGGATTACACCTTTTCTGCCGCGTTATCACATCCTGGTTTTTTTTTGCCACCCCAGTACTGTGGCAGGCTGGCGACAGTGCCGAGTGGCGGGGAAAATACCACGCCACCTTTCATTGCGATTGCCGAACCCGCTGTTCCGAGGACTGGGCGATTTAATTTGCGGTGCCAGCTTATGCGCGGGCGCACTGGACAGATATTGGGCGGTGGATACTACTTTGGTATCTGTGTCGCCTCGCTTGATTGGAGGCGGCGGGATCTGAATGTGGGCAATCCAGAGGTATGGGCCATACATGACATGGATGATGCCCCATGGCGGCTGCGTCACCTGCACCCAGGGACGCCTTTCCGGACTATTGCAGACCCAAGTTGCATTCTGGTTAGTGGAGACATCATTCGTCTTGAGGTTGATCGCGACGAGGGCACCATGCAAGCTTATCGCAAGGGTGTCAACCAAGAGGAGGTCTTATTGGGTCTTATTTTTGACAATCTGCCCAAGGAGGTGAAGCTCTTCCCGTTTGTGCACTTGTATAATACAGACGCTGTCGCCGTACTTTTACCATCCAGTGGAGATCAGCCGGCAATACGTACAACGGTGCAGCAGCCACATTTTGCATTGTGCTCTTTAAACGTTAAACGAAACTGCGATGGTTGTCTCACACAGCACCTTGAGACACGTTTGACCTCTCGTGTGTGGTACAAATGTAACGAATGCATTGATTACAACTTGTGTCATTCCTGTTTTACGCTTTGCACCCATTCACATCACTCCTTTACCGAAATGGGACCTGATCCTCTTGTATACTCCAGCGCTCCCCCAAAGTTTCTTGAATGTGGTACAAAAGTCATAATTTCCGGAACCACGTCGCTATATTTGAAGAGTTGGGGTTGTCGTTTGTTGGAGAGACACATGAATTGTGTGGCGGAAGCGAAGAGGCACAATGCTGTAGCAATGTGGGGTATTGTGTTTAAAAAAGTGGCCACCTTCACGGTTTTGGTGGACACGTTAAACGGCGAACCGCTTTCCTCCGAGATGCCCACGTTTATTGGCGTCGGTGAAGCAGAAGACATCACTTCCTTGTCCGTCGAAATGCTTCGTGAGCGATGTATGTCGGGGGCTGCCACTGTTGCTTCCCTCTGCAGCGATTCCTCCATGGGACGAAAACTCAACTCTTTGACTCTTTCCCCTTCCGGCTTTTGGCGTGGTTCGACGATCACCATTGAGGTGGATACCGTGTTGGGGGTGGCCACCATACGTCGTGACTGGGTGACACTCGGGACACAACCCTTTCCCATCTCTCGCCTGAGTAGCCCCGCCAACTTGGTTGGGTTTGTGCTGTTTGGTCGAAAGAATGTCGTTGTTTCCATTTACCCTGAAATCAAACAAACCCTACCCGCAGTCGTGGAGGGAGTGACAGGCACGTTTTTGCGTGTTTCTTGTCAAGGGCGTATTCGGCTGCTAAGACCAGAACACTGTCGTCTCCCTTTGGCTTTCTGCCAAAGTTTGCCTGAGGTGGGTACGCTAGGGTATGTCTTTCTGAAGAAGGATCTTGCGCAAGGCAAAGTTGTTGCCGTTGGAAAGGACGAAGTGGCGATTCACTTCCCGCTGAACAACGCGGTTCAGTGGGTCCCCTATGCCCTTTTTCTAACAGGTCGATGTGACAGTATTGCAGAGGAGTGTCTGCTTCATCGCGAAATTGACGAGACAGGTGCCACAATGCGTGATGGGTTTGTTCTTTCCAGACTTTTGCTTATTCTTTCATTTCTGTACGAGAATGAAAAACTTTTACCAATTCTCTTGCCCTACAGCTCGGCAATTTTGAATGTACTTCGCCCCATAGCTGCCGTGGAGATCAGGAATGATTCACCCATAGAGTTTATTCAAGAGGTTCGTGCTGCAGTGGATGTAACGTGCAATTGCATTCGTAACATGACATGTAGCAGGACTCTTGCGGGATTTATTCCGTCGCTTTCGATTGACGGCCATCAATACAAGCCGAAGCGTAACTTGCTAATGTGCGCTGTACAGGGTCCACACCGCGGCAAACTTTTTAAAGTTTCTTCTGTGGAATTGCCAACTTCCTTTAAAGGTGTGGAACTGGCCAATGCTTCTTCAACAGCCTTGTTACACATGGGGGATTGTGTTCCAGTAAAGCAATCGGGCGGGAAACCGTGGTGGACCATCCATAATGGTCTGCCCTGTAACTTGCTGGAGCACACCTTGCGCGTGACAGATCCTGAAAATCGCTTGTGTGACACCACACTGGAGGGGGAGTGGCAGGGAGAGATCACCGTACCGAGAAGAGGCACCAGCTCAATTTCTCTTCGTCTTACCGCAGACTGTGGGGGCTCGGCCACCGTGACTTTCCTCACCAGAGCCAGGGAGTGCCTTGTTTTTGGGGAATATATGCGGTACAGCAGGACTGTGCGTCTTTGTTTGTATTGTGCAACGGGTTCAACCAGTTCACTTCCATTTTGTTTTCAAAAGGGGGTGAAGCATCCAACGTTTGAGGCAGCTGTAGATGAGCTAGAATACATGTTGTCTGGTAAGAAAGAACCCATTTTTGTCGTTGTTATGGCTGGTACTATTGACACAGGGAATCAGCGGGTGTTGGGCGAATGGAAACCTAGGAATGACAGAGCTGGGACTTTTGCTATCAATACATTTCGTCGTGTCACCTTAATTGCCCCCACAACTGAGTTGGCGCACATTGAGCCTTTGCCGGAGTGCAGGGACCCGGTGATACCACCAGCTCCGCAGCGAGACATGGCATCTACGATGCACCGTCTTGTTGTATTACTGGCCCGTCACTTGTATCTTTTTATTCTCTACAAGGGTGGAAACGTGGGCAGGGAGGCACTTGATTGCATTGCTTACTACCATTCTCACCCACTGACGAATCAAATTATTTTCACCTACGCCGATATGGAGCAGCGGCTACGCATCGTATATGGGACTCTCGGCCTCATTTTGGATCCCAATACGAAGCCATGGGATGCGACGACGCTTTCGTTTCTTGTTACAAAGAACGTACTCCTTCAAAGTGATGCCGCTGCACATTTTCCAAGCCTTCTTTGGGATTTGTTTCATGCCGTGGTGGCGGCGACGCACCAATGCGGTGCTGAGTACCGTCATCACCTTTTGAGGAATGTCATTAAATTTGTTGAGAAACACCGTGATGGGTTTCATGACATTTATACGCAACTTCTTTCGCTATTGCTAAGCTGGATAGATCGGAATGTCCCAAACTTTTTGCATTATGGTGAAAACCGCAAGGACGTTGCTGCGGGGGTGGAACTTGTCATGAGTGTTGAAAAATCACTTCTTAAGGACACCATCCGAAACATTCCTATAGCATCATTGCAGTGCTTGATCGACATGTCGTACTCCTTTACAGAGGGGCTCCCGCTACCAAAGGCGGTGGATCTTGCGGAGGAAGAGATGACCTTGCGTAAGAGTTTATCTGTGGAGGCACACTGTGCCTATGGTGAATTTGCGGAGGGGGTGCTTAAGGTAGGTAAAGTCATGAGTTCCTGTGTGGCGGGTTCACACGGAAGGTACTACTACGAAGTGGTGTTGCCAGACCGACTCACCGCGCCGTTTGCCGTTGGATGGGGAACGGAAGAACACACAGAGGTTCCAAGTCTACACGTTGGGAGTGACACCTGCAGTTTTGCCTTCACCGGGAATGAGTTGACGTCAAAGAACAAGAAAGAGGAGTATAAACCTGGACAAGAGCCGATGCCAGGATCCGTGATTGGGTGTTTGCTTGACATGAATGAAAAGTTAGTGTCTTGGTCTGTGAATGGGGCGTATGGCCCTTTTGTCCCTATTCCCATTGAACACGAGGACAGGGGTTTGTATGCATTCATGTCCACAGGCTCCTGCAGTGGTATGCGGATGGCATTAAATGCTGCACAGTTTGTATATGTGCCTGATAACTATTGCGACCTCTCCGGACGCTTCACGCGTGTTCAGATCACGACATACGATGAGCAGCCACTTCAAAGTGTACTGCCTGTGCAACCATTATCATTTTATGAACAGTTGGCGTCGTACCTTTCCGACACGGAAGATTCCATGCCGTTGAAGCAGCAGGCAGGCAATATGTCTTTATCAGTGTTGTCTTCTGTGCACATGGTGCCTTTGGAGGTTGAGTTATTGTCACGCTATCCACTACTGTTGCAGATGAGCTACGAGGAAAGGAAGGAGCACACGAAGGTTATTTATGTTGCTGAGAGCTGCATGGCTACCGCACGTCGTTTTATTGATTTAGACAGTGAAGTTGTGTACGGTCGGTTGTCCTCTGCATTTCTACGCGTGAAACATGTTGTGCGTCGGTCCTTTGGAAAGAACCTGCTTGTAAGCATACCCCACGTTGAGAAAAACTTCAATCCGTCCAGTATCACTGTGCGAATCACGGAATTATATTCCACACTTTCACGACCACCTGAGGTGGCTCTACAGCACTCAGTGCTGTCGCAGATGTATAAACAGATTGGGTCTTTCACTGACGAACAACTTCGACAAACTCCACTGTTTAAGGTGCACTTATATATTTCTGGAAGTGGACACGCCCCGCACGATCTCGGAGGACCGTACAAACAATTGTGGACCTTCCTTAGCGAGGAACTTATGGCACACCCAGATAAGTGTTATCCCCATACAGACTACCACAGGAACCCACTCTGTCGCTATCTGAACAACTCACGGAGAATTGCGTTGGTTCCTGATAGCTCTGCTAATTCAGCATATGATCTTATTTTGTTGAACTTTCTTGGAAAAATCATGGGTCATATGGCGGCTGCAAAGACACCTCTGGTATTGGATTTTTCGCCATTTGTGTGGAAGTATCTTGTGGAGGACACACTCACAATAAAAGACTACTACAGGTACGTGGATAGCGTAGTGGAGAATAGCATGGAAGACGCCGATTTTTTCTTGAGTGGGATGGCCGAGGAAATTATTCCAGGCCTCTCCGCAACGCTGGAGGTACTGGGAAATGGGGCAAAAAGTGAGGAGGCCAAGGTGACCACCTGCCGTCGACTGGCGGAGGATTGTCTACTGCACTCCATGGACCTGCAATTGAATGCTATCCGTGAAGGGATTTGGGCTGTTCTTCCTAAACGCGTTGTCCGTTGCCTCTTGTGGCAGGATTTGGAGCGAATGATCTGCGGCGACTCAAATCTAACCCCTGAAGTGATGAGGCAATTCATCGAGGTTCAGCTTACCGGGATGCGGGAGCAGGCCTTTTGGCGCATTATTGAAGAACTCACCGTGGAGCAGCGCTCCTCCTTTCTCTGTTTTGCATCTGGACAGAAGAGACCTCCCCTCATCCACAAGATTAAGGTGACAGAGAGTACAGAGGGCACGGATCACCTTCCCAGAGCACAGTCGTGCTCCTCCTTGGTGACTGTTCCGCTCTATGACACCTACGAACTTTTTAGGGAAAAAATGCTCATTGCCATTGCGCATGAAATGGAGATGGAACTTGCGTAGAACCCAACATATTATGCAACGCCTCTCACCTGAGACGATACTTTCTTTTTTTTTTTACCCCTTCTCCTTTCTTTTCTTTAGGGCCATGGAATATATATGTATATTTCTTCCTCACTTCTGTTCGTATCCATATGAATATATACGTGGCTGTGGATTTGTTTTTTCTTTCCCCCCTTTCCTTTTGCATCGTTTTTTTTTTGTTTTGTTGTTTCTGTTTGATCGTTGCCTCCTTTGATGACGCGTGCTTCTTATCCACCTCCGATATACGCTGGAGTTACACACACACACACAGACACACCGATTCATTTACTTAAAAAAAAAAGAGAATGAAAACAACTTTGACGTAGCTAGAAATGCAACCGTAAGTGGTTACACTGTCTTTTATATATTTATGCATGTATGTATGTGCGTGTGTGTGTGTTCCATGTCCTCAGCTGTACTTTTAGTTTGTTTTATTTTATTGTTTAGTTGTTCCTTTTTATTTTATTTTTAGTTTTGGTGACTTAAAGCTGATGCCACCGGGATCAAGGAAGGAAGAATAATAATAATAAAAAAAAACACTTGTGGTGATCTCTCCTTCCATCTCCATAGCTTTGCTTTTATGGACGCATGCCTGTGGAAACACGAGCGAATGTGCTGTGGTTTTACCTTGTGTATGTGCGTGCAAATATCGTGTCACTTTTTCTTACTTTTTTTTTTTTTTCTTCTCACTCTCTTATTTTCTCTCTGTGTGGTTTGTAGATGCGGAGGGGTTCATCGTCAGATGTTGCCCTTCCATTGCTTGTGGCATCGTCTGGGTGCAGCTCCTGGGCTGATGTTCTTTCGTGCTATCGCAAAACGTGTGAGCTGCTGCGCGGCGTGTATCAGCCGACAACCGAAGAACTGCGGCACGGGCTCGCAAAAATGGAGACCTCATGGAGTACCTCGCTCTTCTACTACGAAGTGATTAAAGGGACGTGTGGGTACAAACAACCGCCTACGCGTCTAGTGAGTACGGCTTTGGAACGTTTTAAGCGTTGCGGTAATTTCTACGCAATGAAGAGGATTATGCAAGAGGATGTGGACACTACCACAAATGAGGGGGCGCGTTCGATGTTGGTGTACGCCTCCTTTACCGGAATGTGGGAGCATGCTATGGCGCTTTACGAGGGTAATGAACGGATGCAACATAATCTGGCGGATACACGAACCTTGGTGAACATATTAGCGCCCCATGGACACTGGGACAAGGCACTCCAGTTACTGTACAGCCGGTCACCCGCTCCGCTGAATTCCATGTTCATTAAACCCATCATCCGTTCTCTGGGGTCGGCAGGGGAGTACAACAAGATGCTCCGACTCGTGGCAGCCTCACTCGCTCAAGGACATGGGATGGACGAGAATCTTTTTTCCGCCTTGGTGAGACCACTGCAAAAGAGAGGCCACTGGCGTGCCGTCTTGGAGACAGCGGAGGATTTGGGCATACTTTCCTCATCTCGGGAGAGTACCGCAAAAAATATTGCCATGTATGGTGGACTGTGCGATTGCTTGTACTCCGCAAACCCTTACTCCACCTTTACCTTGCGTGAGATTGTGGACGACATTACACATCGCATGCACCCGCGAAAGAATTTTGAGTTTGCGCAGCGAAACGGAAAAACATTTCGGCTTTTGTCTTCGAGTGAGTTGTTTCGCATCCATCGGCGCTATCTGAACCCGCTTAGCTCCATCTATGTTAAACTGTTGTCCTTGAACAAGGTTCACTTTCGTCCAGTCTCTGAGCTTGCAGACGATGCTCTGAAACACGGTGACACGCTTTTAGTTCTTGACACTAACTTTTTGCTTCAGTGCACAGCGAAAAATTTACCCCTTAACCATTTCTATCTGCCCATGCTGAAGCAGTATCCGCAGCTTGAAGGTAAACCACTTGAGCACGTCATTCTGCCCTTCACCACTGTACGTGAGATTTACCAGCTCATTTGGAATCCATCAACGCAATTAAAACGGGCTGTGCGAAGTCTTTTGTGGTCTCGTGTTGTGACGTTTTTGAAGCAGCCGACGGTGACTGTCCTGGCGCTGTCATCGGAATTTCCATGCATTTCATTTTCCATCCTTTCTCATTTGGCGTATTTACGCCTTAATGAGCCGGCAAACGAGAGCGATCCTGATCTACGCATACTGAATACATGTCTGTCTCTTCAATATACACTTCGACTACGAAAGGCAGGTTCACTTCAGGGTGCCTCTCTTATTTCTGAAGGGACGATGCTTTTTTCCTTTTTGAAATACCACATCCGTCGCCACCATCGTGAGGTTCGAGGGATTACTTCTGAGTCATTGCTACTGTGTACACTAGACAAGCGCCTATCTGCTGCGGCGGATGAATTGGGAGTTCAAACATTTCCGCGGTTTCACATGTCTGAGGACGCAGCCTCTGAGACAATAAAGAAAAAAAGAGACGTATAACCCTCAATCGGATACTTTTTTTCCTCATGTTGTTGTTCTTGTCAGTCTATGCGTGTGTTGTAGTTGTGGTAGGTGTAGGGGGCGGTTAAGCTACTTGCTCTTTGAGTTGTATCATTTTTGTGCGCCATATATGATGTGTCGTTTTTTTTTCTTTCTTTTGTTTGTTTATATAGAAATTTTTTTGGTGTATTTTATTTGATGCAATGTCCACGGCCGAAGGCAGGTGTCGAATATGTCATGTGAGCAAAGGGACACTTATAACTCCTTGCAAGTGTGAGGGCTCAATTCGTTGTGCGCACTCGAAGTGCTTGTTGGATTGGGTGTACCAACGTCAATCACTTTCCTGCGAGGTATGTGGAGCAACTTACAATGCTGTGAAGGTATACAACTTTCATTTAGCGGACGGGGAACCTGGATTTTTCACGTTGTGCTGGATTTGTGCCAGGTGCTGCCTGGTACGCTGTCTTGGAACACTAACCTTTGTGGTGCTCAATGCGTTTCTGCTTATTCTGCTTCCCTTCGTTGTGGCGTTTTTTTATTACGCCGTCCCTCCATTTGACCCTGTCACCCCACCGTGGGCCTCTGCCATTCAGCTAGTTCCAGAGTTGGGTTACTTCTCGCCGTTTTTTTTTTTGTTGTGGGTGTGGAGCTCACCCTTTGTGCAATCCCCTTTTGCTTTTTGTGGTATCACTGCCTTATGTGGTTTTACTCAATGGAAGATCTGCCTGGGATGAATCTAGTGGAGGACGAGGTGATGGATCAACTGATCGTGCATGCTGCACTTCCAGAGTCTGATGAGGAACTTGACGAGGAGTTTCATGAGCAAGTGAGAGGTTATCGTTTGGTCCCAGCTATTCTCCCTGATGAGAAGGAATCGGTGCTGGAGGCCATCAGCTCCCTAAAACAGAAGCTAAATGCTACCTTCAGCGGGGTATATGTATCTCCAAGCGTGGTAGAAGGAATTACGTACTTTATTACTTTTTGTGCCGTTATGTGGGTGTCGCTGGGCATCATCCCAGAAGTGATGCGTTTAACTGCAACATTTGCTTGGAATTTTTTTGATGGGAGCTTCTACTGCAATGCAGCGTTGAAGAACATTATGCAGTTATCATCGGAGTCAGATGGTACATTTCAGATGCGTTATGCCATGGTTATGTTGTTTGTAGATGCGTTGGGAAGTTCAAGGTTGGTTTCTTGGTCTGCCCTTTATGTGAGACTAAGTCTTTCTCTGTGGATTTTATCATGGCTGCTGAAGCATATACGTCGTTTATGGCGTCGTCAAGTATTACATTTGATGCTTAGTTATTTTAGTGGGATACTGAAGTTAGTTGCGTTGATATATTGTGCCTTTTTAACGATGTGTTTCGTGACGACAGTCTTGTGCTTGGACTTCGTTATGGTCGAGACCTCGTTTGCTTCCAACGACTATGACAGGGCCTGGAGACTAGCCACGGAGTCTACAAAGAACAAGATGCCTCGACCAATGTTCTCCACGAATCCGACAGAAGTTGATACGACTGTTTCATCTGTAACTATTTTGAAGGCACTGCGTGTTCTTTCATGGAATACAGAGAATGATACTTGCGGCAATTTTGGGGATGTGCACATGAAACATATGAACACTGGTAATACGAATATTATTTCTGGCGTTAGCAACGGTAGTGCATGGGTTGTGGAGGGTGATGATCCGCTCCTCTTTCCACTCTTTGTCTCTACGGTCATTGTGTCCAAGGTTGACAGTATGTCGATAGTGGAAACCGGGTATATTATAGGGTATTTCGCTTTCTTTGCCTTTTATCTGTTGCGTTTTCTCATGCAGATATTCTTTAAGGAGCGGTGGCTTGGTTGGAGTACGCTTTACCGGATGCTGCGGAGGAGCATGTTTGAGGTTATTTTGAGTTACAATACGAAGGCATTTCTTCTTGTCTATGGTGAGCTTCTCGCCTACTCGGTGTTGTTTTCATATGTGCTGCTCCGGTTTTCACTGGCCCTTATCCGTGCCGTTTTGCCTTCGGCAGTACCCATAGTGTTGTTGCCAAACACTAATGTACCCCCTTTCATTTCCTGGGCGAGGCTGCTTTATCTTTCCAACACGACGATTCAAGATGCACTGAGGTGGATGTGCAAGCTTTTGACCTTAACCTTTGAGAAAGTTTTTAATATCAAAAAGGAGATGCACGGAGCTCCGTTCTCACTGCCGCGTTTAATTTTAAGTGTTGCGTATGTATTGGCATCTGTGGTTTTCTCTTGGATGCTCACGGTTGTGGCGTTGGCGGCGTATGCCATCCCCGGGATCTACGCGCTGGGAAATCGAGGATCAATGCTGCGAATTCTTTTTCTTACTGACTCTCATTTTCACATAATTCTTCTAGGAGCGCGGACTCTTAACCAACTGGAGGCCCTTCCCATTTGGTTATCGCACCTTTGGCTTCAACCTCGTCGCTTCTTGGAAATGTGGAAGCAACGTTGGTGGTTTGGGTCGTGTCTCGGTTTATGGTTGGTTTCAAGCGTGGCTCGGGAGGAGGGCCTCATTGGCTACAACGTTCAGTCTATTCAGAACTTTCCCGACGATGTTGCTTCCAAATTTGCATCTGCCATAGACGACATTTCGGCCCACATCGAAGTATACAAACAGGTCAAAGGTCCCGCACACTCTATTGAGCGACTACAAAAGACACTGAAGGCTCTCAAATCTCAGAGTGGCGTCACCTACTTTTTACCTGAGGATCATGTACGTCTTCTTCGTGAGTGCATGACTCCACCCACTATTCAAGAGTGTCTTTGTTACTTTTTGAATTCTGTGGTGCTTTTTTTGCTTCTCCCCTTTCTAGCAGGCACTGTGTGGCGGGTCATGGTACGAAGATTTTTTAATGAACCATACTGCAATGTGAATACCAGATTTTTCTTCATTGTTTTCTCGTGGCACTGTGGAATGTGGATGACGGTCCTAGTTTCGCTGCTATCTGTGAAAATATGTGGGGGTCCGAGTCGTGTGGTGTTGTATTTTTTTTGCGGCTCTCAGCATTTCACGTTAAAAAGTACCATGAAGTTTCTTTGGAAACCTCATTTTATGTTAATTGCCTCCATCACCTTTGTTCCATACACCTTACACAATCTTTTGCAGGGTTTTTCGGGATCGGGAGGGAGGGAGGAGACGGATGGGAGGTATCATTTGTACTATGCAGCGCTCACAGTACTGCTGTGCACCGCGTCTTTTTTTCTGGAAATGTGGGAGATTAAACAACCTCGCCAGACCCAGTTACGTGTTGCGCACGAACGCAAGGAGGAAAGATTGGTGGTGTCACGCACAACGCCAGATCATGTTCGCACAATTGTTGTGGATAAATATATGGGCGCAAGCATGCGTGTGGAAGCTGCTGTTCTTCTTGAACGTGACGTCGGAGTTGGTGCTCCACAGCGAATTCAACCCATGCAACACCCTGTTAGGGAGACCATTGCAAACATCAAGGCTTTTTTGGAGTCGGTGTTTGCGTCAACCGTCCAGTTCTTAGGGACAGTGGCTGAAAAGGAAAGTCTTGTGGAGGTTGTTTTTGTAGATCACCATTCAATTTCTTCAGGAGATCTTCCAAATGCATAACTTCTTTACTGCGGTGGATTTCTTTTCAAATTACTTTTTTTTTTTCTTCTGGAGCTTGTGAGGCGAGTGTACGACGCGGTGGAGATTGGTAAACGATGGAGTTGTTTTTTGTTTTGTTTTTGTTGGTGCTTGCCTTGTTTCTTTGCTCATTAATCGAGTTTAGGCTCTAAAGACATCCCGGTGGACGACGGTGTGAGCCCAGTTGCTTTGGTTTTGCGTTGTCTGCTACTTCAACTCAACTCCATTCTACCACTGCCGATATAGTACGCACGGAGCGATTTAGTGGTTGCGGGTGGCACTACTAACAACTACCAATTTGCGAGGTCAGTAGGGCCGGCTATCGTGTCATATACCATTTGAATTTATTTCTTCATAGGTGTATGTGCTTCTTTCTCTCTCTTTGTGTGTGTGTATGTGGGATGAAATAACGTCTCAGTGGAGGAGGAGGATGGCTGGGCGCACACTGAACCACACTTTACTCTCTCCATTTTATCACTTCTTCTTTGTAGGAATAAAGGGAACAACGCTTTATCCAGGGGCGCATCTTCTTTATTGTTTCCCTCGCGGCGGGACTATGTACTTGCGCAGATTACTCACTCGGTGAGTGTGGCTTTCGTCTTCTCTCTCTCTCTCTCTTTTTTTTTTGCCCTCCCCCCCCCCCTCCTCTATTCCTTTGCTATGAATGTATGTTTGCAGGTTAACGTTTTTTATACAACAAAAAATCTTCTATTGTCCCTTTATATTAGTCTTGTTTCTTCCCTATTCCCTAGAGGCACGTGAGGAGACATGGAGGAGGACAACCTGCTGGATTTGATGAACCGCTTGCGGTTCATCACGGGAAAGTCAGTGGAGGCTCCCATGCCAGAGGCTACCGCCACCTGCATTAGTGAGCAATGTCGGTTGGTGATTCAACAGGCGCTATTTCGTCATCCTGCTCTTGTCATGCTACACAAGACAAGGGATGAACTCAAGAAACATGTTATGGATCAGTTGCAAGATTCTCTGCAGACTGAAGCTGCCATTTCAGATGATGTTGGTCGTCTGCTTGGGTGGATCAATGAGACGTCCGAGTCCCTGGAGTTGGAGCGGTTATCAGCCGTTTATAGTGACACCGAGGAGGTATATCATCACATGAAGCGCCACACACTGGAGGAGTTGGGCATTGAGACGCTTCCCAAACAGTTACAATGCGCCGCTGGCGACCTGTCTCCGTGGAACGTATTGTTCGCCCTAGTCGTTGGTCCTCTCTTAACCTTTGATGAAACACGATACAAACGGGTGGAAATGTACTTTCCAAACCCGACGCCATCCATGGTAACTGATCTGATGGAAATTAACAAGAATGTGTACAGTACTCCATCATGGGTGTCACTTTTGAGTAGTCTTGCGGGCTTTCCAATTAAAGCAGTGAGACATGTATGGTTGGCCGCTCTTTTCTTTTTCCCAACAAGTGGACCTTTGGTAGTTGCCTATTTGACGAGAGAAATAGCAGAGGCTTCTAAACGACGTTTCCTGTGGGAAGAGAGGGATGAGGATGATGCGAAGGAAACTTATCGTTCCTATTGTCGTGTCTTGAATTGTTTCTTTCGCCATCTTCCATTGTGTTTTAATGTTGAGTTGTTTCGTCTTTTTATGGATTTTTTGGAGCGTTTTATCCGTCCAGATGATGCCACGTTGGATGCCGTCTTTAAGACTGCGCTGCAGCGGTACATTGGACACTGCCCGGCGAGCGCGGAGTTGTGGAAGAAATATATCCGCTGGAAAGGCGATAAAATACGTGACGCTAATGTGCGACGTGAGTGGGTCCGAAAGATGTACATTCGGGTACTTCGAACCCCACTAAATGGCCTAAGCGAGATCAAGGAGGACTACGATTTCTTTTTAAAGGCTGAATACAGAGGACGACCCCCATCTGAGGGTCGACTAGAAGAGAGGTTTGTGCGCGCGCGAGGGGCGGCCGGAGAATTGAACAGATTCATAGGGACATACAGCAATACACATGGCGGAGATGCTCTACCAAGGTTGTTGTATCTTCCGCGCCCTGTCCGATTGATGGCGAATTGTACCTCTCACGTTGTGGTGTCGGAGAAGGAGGAGATTATGCGGCGACTAGAGGTGGAGCTGTGGGCTCAATGGACCGCTTTGATTGACCGAGAGTCAGGGTCTTCTGCCTACATGGGTATTGAGTTGTTTCGTTACGAGCGTGTTCGTTTTTTTCTTGCGATGCGGGCCAGCTTTTTCCCTCACCAGTCCTTTTCGTGGACCAGCCTTGTGGATTACTGCCTTGGGCAACAACTACTTCTTTCAGAGGCTGAACGACAGGCATTGGCGAGGGAGGCTCTGGAAAAGGCCTCTTTTTTGTTAAACAAGAATTTTCTTCTGCAAGTCTCGTATTGTGATTACATGCTACGGGATCTTGCGGACCCTGAGTGTGCCCACCGATCTATCAAGGGGTTGCTCCTGCAACAACGCCGTTCTGTTGTGGATTACATTAAGAAAGAGACACTTGCCTCTCTTGAAACAGCGATGATAGCACTGGAGCGTGTTGCGTTGCTCGCCGTAAACTGGATGCGATGGGGCAGTTTAAATAACGAGGTGACGAACACTCAGCATGTTCGATTGGTGGCACGCTTTACAATGCATCGCGTGGACTTTCTCTCATTGATTATGGGTGTCATTCGACGCGCCTCTAAAGAAGAGCGAAGTTTCTCTCCGCGTCGTTGTCTGCGGGCATTTAACACGTTTTGTCGCTTTTGGGTAGAACTCGAGCTAATTCGAAATCAGGCTCAAACAGAGGCTCTTGCTATACTTGAGCGATGGAAGGACCATTTGAACATGTTTTGCAGCTCTGCCAAAGACAGAGAATGGGGTCTAGTGGACTGTGGTATTGACGAATACTTTACCTCCAGCTGCGCGAACGTGTGCCGCAGTGACGCTTCAGCGGTGCAGCAGGTTTTAGGTTTTATGGAGGAAGTAAGGCTTACTGCTACAAAGGCGTCTTCTTTTTCGCCGGCGGATGTAGAGTCGCTGCTGGAGACTATAAGAGGAATTAGAGACATGTTCTTTGTGGTTAATGCTGATGCTGGGAGCGTTCCGGCTTCCACACTGCCGCTTCGTCTATTTAGTGCGCGAGTACGGGGTGCAACAATTCCGCTACAGACGTATGATCATCATTTGTTTACGGCAGAAGGGGCGTGGCACGAGGAGGATAAATCCTACGTGTTGCCGTCGGGGGAAGTGCGTGAGGGGGAAGGCAATGCAGCTACAAACCCATTACTGGCGCCTTCTGTAGAAGCTATGCCGGACGACGCACGTTGGGTTTCCTATGCGCCAGCGCGAGCTTACACTGCCACAGAAAATTCACGCAGCGCTCAGAAGGGGAACACTGACCAGGAAGTTAAACCGAGAAAAAACAAACGACCACCTAATGGGCGGTCCTTGGTTGTTGAGAGTGTCTGCCTTAGGGATTTACCCACCATCTTCCACTCCCTCGGAAGCACTGCCGTGTCTGACGCACTACTGCTGCGGAAGGTTGAGCAAATGCTGACAACACACATGCCATCGACACATGAAACGGACGTTTTGTTTCAAGAAATGACGGTTGACACGGAGTGGCTGTTTCAGTTTATGGAACGCATGCCTGCGATGCAGTAAGCGAAACGAATTAAAGGCGTGGTGGGCGCAAGAAACATACATAATATACGACGAGAAGAGAGAGAGAGAGTGGCAGGAGAGTCTGCAGTGGTGTGGGGAAACCGACAGGGTCATACTTTCTTTCTGCTGTTGTTGTGGATCGATAAGGATGAATGTGTGCTCTCTTCACTCCTGCTGCAGTTTTTTCTGGTAGGCTTTCCAAATGCGTCGGCAATTTCCTCTTCGCTGTGGAAAAATGGAAATCGTTTTGCCCAAGCCAGAATCGTTCATCCCTGCAGAAGTAAAACCCATTTCTCCAACCTTGCTGTACCGAAGGCTTCTCAAGCTGTACATCCGCAAGTTTGATACGGATAAAAAAACAATAATCGCCGCATGGAAGCAGACAAGGTTTGAGTTCTGGTATCATCGAAACGACACGCCGGAGGTGGCTCAGTTGCACAATATTCGTGGTCAGCAGATATACGAGGCCATTCGCGCCGGGCTGATTCCTGTCTACAGAGATAGCAAGACAAATAAGACTTTTTTAAAGTATGACTCTGATACACTAAAGGCGTCCCATAACCATATTGACCCCGTGGACGCCGAAGAGTTTATTCGCCGCTATCATGACAAGATCCCCGCCGAGGATGTTGCTGAGATGCAGGCCACGTTGAAAAAGTTGGGACGCTGGAAGGGGCCGAATGAGCTTCGTGACGAGGACTTACACCACTTTAAGAGGAAGGTCACCCGAAAGATGAAGTGCACGGACCCAGACGATTGACACGCTTTTCATCACTACCACAATGCGTTTTTTTTTCTTTCTTTCTCTCTCTGCGTGTGTGTGTGTGAGTCCCCTTTCTGGAAGGGTTAGTGGTGACCTGATATATATATATATGGGAATTGTAATGCCCGTTTTTTTTCTTCCTTGTTGTTGAGGCTTTTCTCTTTCATACGTTTGGACTTTTTTCTTTCCCCTCTACCCCTTTTTCTTTGTTTTTCTTGCCTTTGTCTTGGCTGCTTCTTAGGACGACATTTTTTTTTTTTGCAGCTGCGCGTGTAGTATCTCCTGCTCTCTCTGGCAGTCGTGATGGTGACTCTGCACAGTGATGGAGGCCTTGGTGAACACGATTGGCTCATTACTCGCACGGGCTTGCCTTCAGTGGAGGACATTCTTACTGAGGCCGAGCCGATCAATGAGTTTGTCTGTCCTCCAATTGAATTACCTTCCTGTTTCTCACGACGATACTTGATGATGATGAATGCCCTGACCATGGGAAGGAAAATCACCGAATGGGAAAAAAAGGTAATTTTTTCGAGGTTGAAGAAAAGCCCTCCTTTGATTGAGGAGGAATTTCAAAGACGTCTTAGTGCGGTTCATGCGCGTAATACGAGTGAATACCTACACGACATACAACTTCGTGGTGCGACACGGGTAGCCGTTAAGCAAGAGGAGCATTACCTGGAATATGAAAAAGGAAGAACACACAGGGAGGCTGCATTTGCTCGTCACAAAAACTTGACGTCTATTTTGCGAGAAGAAGTAAAAACTGTTAGGGCAAGGCAGTGGTGCACCATCGTATTATCCCACATGTTTCTTACTGCCTTAATGAAGGAGAGGCGCATTCATGAAGCGTATGAAAAGATTTCCTGGATGCTACTTCCTGTCATTAAGCGTCGTGCAGCCGTTAAGGAGAAGCAAGCAAAGGCGGAAATGTTAACCCGAATGAATAGGGATAATATACCATTTCCTTCACCAGCTGTGATTTATAGCATGTACGGAACCTTTTTTAATGGATGGCCACCTCGTCTTTTGGAAATGCTGGCACGGAAAGGGAAGCCTCTTTTTCTCAAAGCAGGAACCTTTTTGATGCATGAAGGCGACTTGGATCGTTGTATGTACATGATCACCACGGGCCGCGTAAGCGTCATTTTGAATGATCGCTCCAAAGGCAAAAAACGAACAAAAGAGTGCAGCAAGGCTTGTTTCGAACTCAATCCACCGTGCTACGTGGGAGAATTTGCTCTGGTATGTAAGGAGCCTCGAAGTGCGTCTATTCAGTGTGAAACCGATATGGGTGCCTGGGCGGTTTCCCCCGAGGACTACGAAGACGTCGCGCAGCATTTGAGTGCAGAGGTGGCAAGTAAACAACGAGAAGCGACAGACGTTCGTCGGCGAGCAAACTTGCAAAAGTTTTTTCCTCTTCGTGTTGAACTTCTTCGTCAATTTCCATATTTTGAGAAATTTAGTGCTGAGGCTCTTAATAAAATTATTTCTGCTGTGGAACCCATAGTGCTTCACGACGGAGATCATCTCTATTCAAAGTCCGATATGGATTCGTCGGCCTACTTTATTCAGGATGGCGTTGCCATCCTCTTGGAAGAGGACGGAACTCGTCATTACATTCCACGTGGCAGCTGTGTGGGGATATTCGAATGCGCCTGCAGTGTCAATGAGCGTAAACGGTGCTCCATCATAAGCAAAAATTACTGCGATATTTGGCGCATGCGGCGTGAGGTTCTTATTGACGTTGGCATGAGCGAACCGGCCGCCTTTTTATATTGCCGCAGTGCTGCCAAGTCTCAACGCGCAAATGAGGTGATAAAACCCACAACGACGCCCTGTTCAGTACGAAAAGATCCATACCTCATGTTTTGCCTCACACGTCATTTAATGAACCGATTGTGGGAAGCTGCACTGCCAGTGATTTACCTCAACGACGAAAAACTTGTGGTTCAAGGGCAACCTTTTCAACAGTTTATTATATTGCATAGCGGCGTCTTTGAAACAACTTTTATTGCTGGAAACGGTGAGCATCATACAGTGCGTATCACTGTTAATGGCGAGACTACTGCCATGGAGGTTCTTTCTGGCTCAGTCGACAATGTTTTCAGTAAAGGAAGTGATAACATTGCCAAAACCTTTTTTAGTTTGGTTTTGGGAGCCTATGAGTGTGCCTCTTCGATGTCACAGTACTGCTCTACAGTAACGAGTTATGGGCTTTCGGAGGCTTTTGTTGTGGAGCGTGCGTCCTTTGATGCCCTGCTGCCTGTAGAGCTTAAAGAAATTATGGAGGCCGACAAGGATGCACGTGAAATCGTTTATTCTTCTCACAAACAAAACGATCCCAGTCAGCTTACATCAAATATACATCTTGGATTTGCCGCGGCGTACCGCAAGGCCAGGGAATGCCACCTGAAAGGCGACGCGATTTGAATGTAAAATGCTCGTTTTGTTGTTGTTGAACATTCTTATACGGCCCCGGCGTTCACAAAATCTTTTCAAGTGAGTGACTCAAGCAATCTCCACACTGACGGAATATATATGGTTCGAGCTGTTGCGTCACGGCACTATTCTTGCATTTCCATGTGTAATATAATATACTATGTATATATATATATATAGTGTGCGTGTGTGTGTGCGTGTTTTTCACTCTATTGCATTGCTTGCGTATTTTCCTGGTTTACTCTTGCGTTGAGTGTGTCTTTTCTGCGTGTTGTCATACTCGTTCCTGTTGCTTTTTTTCTCTGGGCTCATTTTTTAGTCCCTCTGTGGGCTTAGGTGAGAAGGCGCGACTTTGTCGCGATGCCAGTGGAATAAACTATATGCCCGTATCTATCTCATCAACGGGGAGTATAACCCTACGCTCATGTCTTGCGTCGCGTATTATGCCGATCCGACTCGTGCTGTTTGGTGTCAGTGAAACCAAACTCCTTTTTTTTTTTGATTCGTCTTGGGCGAAGAGTGTGAGATGGATGTTGGCAAATTTATCCCCCGAATCACTACATTTCCCCGCCCACTTTATTTTTGGATTGAGAGAAGTTATTGTTCTTGTCTGTGTATGGGTGTGTTTGAGGCCATCATCGTAACACTCTTCTGGGATATTTTTTATGGAAGCATGTCACCACGTTTTCACCGCTTTCTGGGCCGCGCTGAGTGCCTGCATAGCTCATTGTCGCTTCGATACCGAAATGGGAAGGTGAGCCTTTACAGCACCGTTTGGAAACAATCTTTACTCCGCACACTGCGCGACTGGCATACAGCATTCACCTCTGTTAACAGTCTGCTTGGACGCTGGCCCACCGGAGCCCAATAATAAAAGTATATGCTGTTGGCTTTCCAAGGAGAAAATCGGACCCTCTTTGCTTGTTGTTTGTGGGTTCCGTGAAAGTGAAGCAGGAGAAACAAACATATTGTTCGCCGAGGAGTGGAATGGGGGCGTAAACATCATCACGAGTTTTATTGCCCTCAAAGGTCTGTGACATGCAACAAAAAAGGATTTCTCATACCGAGTTCTTTTTTGTTTTTGTCGCGGCTTTTTTCTTGATAAGAAACAAATGGTGGATGCACACGGGAGAACAAAAGCAAAACAAAAACTAAAAAACACAAACACGGCATTGCATCTCTTTGATAATGGCGAAGAGAAATCACACTGACACGCGCGCACAATGGACAAATATTGCAGTGCACGAAAATGCTGCTTTTCTAGTTGGTGCTGGTAGTGCTTTGTGTGCCGCTGCCACCTTTTTTTTTCGTGTGTGGCCATGAACGGAGAGAAATACAAAGCATGAAGGAATGTGTTCACTGTGATTCCTTCATTTTCATTTACATCGAGTGCAGTGCGCAGCGTGTGGGAGTGTTGTCTTGAAGCGCGGCGCCGCCAACTGCAACGGTGCGGTACGGGGTGGGCGGCTTCTTTTGTCTGAGTTTTTGCTGCCGCTGTGGATGCGTCCGCACGGACACTTTGTCGTGCCCCGTCTTTGGGCCTTTCTTTTGGGCTGTGTGGCTTGGTGACGACGGTGGCGGGGTGTTTTTTGCCTCCATTTTCATACGTTGCCGTGGCGGAGCCTTGCGGGTGCGTGCGACCTAAGAAAGAAATGCAGAAGGTTGTGTGGGGCTTACTGGGTGGTGCGGTGGCCGCAGAGTGGGGCTGCCGCTTCTGCTCTTGCGCCGGGGAATATGCTGCCGCGCTCTTTTTGTTGGTTGCGTCGGGGGCAAATGTGCCGGCACCCTAAGAAACTGCGGGTTCCACCGCCACGACGACTGAAGGAGGCGGAGACGTCTGCAGCCTGCGAAGGCAGGCTGCACCCCGTGCGGCCTAGTCGTGTGGCAA